AGAGGAAGAAGAAAAGTAACATGGATGGACAGTATTTAAGACATGGACTGACCTGGGTATAGCAGAATGTGCAACGCTTGCTCGCAACCGTGAAGGATAGAGGGTCATCACAAGTCAACCCCCAGGTATTCCAGGTAATTCCTGATGTATATATACATACATACATATATATTGAATTTAGAAGATGAAGAACTCTAAACCTCGAGACAAAGACAACAAGAAACCAAAAGAGGCCATTCAGGGAAAAAACAAGACAAAGAGGATCTAGCTCTTTGAGGGACCAGTTTGTCCAAAACTCCCTTTTGATCTCTTTCAATCTGAGGGCTCAGTTCAACGCCTGTTAGACTAGAGATGTAGCTGTTATACTCTCTAGGTCTAGAAAAAAGCATCAACAAAACAAAGCAAAACAAAAACAAAACAAACATTTAAAAAACAACTAAAGACACTGCATTTAGATCTACCAATTCTCAAACTGTCTGAAAACACAGTGTTGTTATTCTCTAACTTTAAGTAAGCATGCCTTGTTTTAGGTGTCTGTGTAGGCCAGTATTGCGTGGCTATTTGTACGAGATGTATTTAACATCATAATAAATATTATAACCTCCCTTTTCAAAACATGAAAACGGATGTGTGGAAAACTTGCACTCCAGCACGCACGTCCATGGCGAAATCGGCGGGAGGCGGCAATCTTCACATAAACGAGTTTCGCTATGTCAGGGGAGGTAAACAGCGTTAATTATTTGGATAAAAATTTTATATGAATTATGTCCCCTGTGTCACGCAGTATTCGGTTCATTGTCTCGCAGATTAGGGTTATTTTCCTTGATGTATTAATCACAATTGCTCGGGACAGCCAATAATTTATGCACGATCGAGTAGTCTTTCCGCTTCTTTTGCTCCATCATAGCCCACCTGTAACTACAGCTTCAACCTGACCTAATTTCGCAGAGCGCTGGAAACTCTCTTGTTTTTCTTGTTCTACTTATTCTTGTTTTCTTCCCCTTCCTCTTCCCCTGGTTCTTGTTCTTGTTGTTGTTCTTACTATGTTCAGTGAATACTTGGTTCTCACAAACCCAGCCCTAACCCTAACAATAACCCAAACCCTAAACCTGGCTCTAACCCAAACCCAAACCCAGTCCTTAATCCTAACCCAAACCCTAACCCTAAATCTGGCTCTAACCCAAACCCAAACCCAAACCTTAATCCTAACCCAAACCCTAACCCTAACCCTAACTCTATCCAAAACCTAAACCCTACCCCTAATCCTACCCCTACCCCTACCTCTACCAGTACCCCTAACCCTTACCCTAATCCTAACCCTAACCCAAACCCTAACCCA